CTGAAATTTATGAGCCGGTCGTTTGATAGTTCACCAATAGTGACTGCATTATTGTAGACCACCTCCTTGTGAAGCAAATGATGTGTAGGTTTTTCTGCTAGAGACGCTTTTTGGAGGTGATGTTGGACGATATATCTTGGAGATAGTTCTAAGGGCTTCTAACTCATCATCTGGGGCTTTTTGTGCAGGTAGGTTTTTCACTGACCTACCTGTTTCGAAATGATAGAAAATATCCGCAGCTAATGGTGAGGACGATGGTGGTTTGATGTTCTTCAAGCTTTGACGAAATATCGAGGCTGAGATAACGCCTAACTACCATAAACTGTGTCTCACTGGATGAAGTGCGATAGGGGCAGTCCTTGGTGGGGTGATGTAGGCCTGACGGGGTCGCCTGAGCTTCTCGCAGTGTACACGCGGAACTCATTCCACGTGGTTAGTGTGTAGTTCTACTCCACTGAGGACCACAACCACTTATCCAGTCAACTTCGGGAATATTAAAGGCGCCGGCAATAAATTTAAACCCACACTACACAAGGGATTGTAAGCAAACGATTTAGCCGGAAGTGTATCCTTTTCTGTCGCTGACGATGGTGCTTGATATGCACGACCCATAGGCACTACACAGTTGTCACCACATACTGTGGCCCGCAGTGGGTTAGGCGCTACACTTAGCGTATCGATTTCAAATTTTTTCCCGTGACTTAATTCCATGGACAAATGAGGCGGCCATTTCCATCCCTATGATTGCGATGGAGAGTGTATCCATCTATTCCTAAGTCGGGATCCGGTTGTTGGACACCACGATTTGCCAATCTGTAATATCGTCAGTTTAGTGACTGAAAATGTTGTCCTAAAGGCAGATATTTTTCTATAAGGGTTGCGTAGACTAGTGAACAGTAGTGGAAATAGTCTTTCGTAACTGATGAATTTATCTGCAGTGTCATTTAACTCGTTGCGCTTATCTTCAGAAACTGTGTTCACACGTGAAGTTTGATTTATGTTACAAACAATCTGAGGCTCCCTAGTGGCTCCAAGCAAACAGAAAAATGGGTGAACTTACTGCCTCTTGGCCCACTGGATGGAGTAGCTTTTTTATCAACAAGTCCTTGGTCCCTATTAATGTCGCATTCTGGAGTTTGTCGTCGGTGAGTACCGGTTTATGCAGCTAAACTTTTGTGTCGGAGTCGCGCGGGCTGCTCCCGGGTACCATGAGTAACCGAAAATATTCACGAGGTACGAGCGTGCTAACTAACCCAAAAGAGGGATTGATGCAACCAGTCCTAGGGTAACGATCATGTGGATCGCAGCCTGGTGCTGTGTTCTTGCATAGAAGATTAAATGCTCCAGCATCCATCACAATGTTTGTAATTCCAGATGGTGGCATGCCGGGGCTCATATGTTCACCAGACGAAGTGCGGCATAATACCCGCCCCAACATGGACCACGAGATTCTTATTCCGAAATAAAGGCTTCCTTATCTCCCGGGGGATACCGACTGACTACTACAAAGTTTTTTGTTGATGAGTGATCCTTCCTGACATCTGGTTGCCTCTGAAATTATTGGTGGAATGACCAAGTGCGCACTACGCTGGCAGGACATCCTTTTTTAGATAATCGTAATTTATTTGAGATTGTAATGAATTCAGATGCTGTTCTGCGGCTTGATGAACTTCTCAGCATCATGGAATTCAAATATTATGGGGAAACCGCCTTACGAAAGGTTTTGCACAATCGTTCACAGTCGTGGGGCACATTCGCCATGGCGCATGCCAGTAGGATCTTGCCTATGGCACCTTCGACATGTAAGCTGTCGGCGGCAACGCAATGTATGGCTAGCGGAGAAGATACCGATCGCTTTATCACCTCAGCCGCTAAGACATCCATCGAGCCTTTGGCGAAATGGGGGAAAATTTTTAGGCGCATTTGCACTATCTCCTGAAATAGCCTTAATATCATTGATGTCATTTTAATTTTCTTCGAGTGTTGTATCCATTTCGGAGGCGGTATCGGAGGCTGTGACAGCCGATGTATGAGAGGCGATCGCTCCAGCATCTGAACTGCAGGGTGGGGCTCCTATCTCACCACATTGGCAGACGGATCTTGAAGCGCTTGTTCTCAAATGCCCACCACTATGGTCTGTTTTTGAGCACTTAGTGTTATTTCTTTCCATACTCAAAGTATGAACTTGATTTATGTGTTTTTGTATCGATAGCAGGTTGTTTTACTCGGTAAGCTGAATGGATTCCTAAACCAAATACAGTATATGTGTATACATTTTGCTACGTTCCAAGTGGTAATAGATATCGCGACACACAGATAAACCGACTGAGAGCAAATGACAAAGATTACGTGTGAATGTAGCGCAAGTTACGAGCATGTCACCTCTACTTGTACGCAACACCAGACTAGACAGGCATTGAACACAATACTCGTTTCATGTAGGTAATCCATTTTTAAGCAGTTTAAGTACACTTTTAAATACTGCAAATCCTATCTGCTGGAGGCGCAGATGAAAGCTTGTAGTGTCACACACCACTCCAGCACCAACAGCCTAGGATTTGACGAGATTCAACATTGATACTGACCTTCACAGTTTTACGGGACTCACTAGGCTGAAGGCACCCGGTCAGGCATTCACTCCATTTGGCACGCTATGGTGTTACGTTGCGCCGCTCACAATTGACCGTCTAGCCAGCTGGTTGGAATGCATCGATATTTTTACATGACCTCGCAAATATGCTATTCCATCCGACCACGCCATTGTGTTCTTTTCCGGTCTCGTATTTGTGGGTAAATTACGGGTGCGAGTGACCAGTGACTGGCCTCTGTATCTGTCAGGTTCACAGAAGGACAATTCCTAAATTGATGGACGTGTTCCATTCTAAATGGTGGACCGTTTTCATTTTGAAGACCTTTATGTATCCGTGCCTAACTTCTTTCCATGTCCGGCCATACTGCGAAGCCTAGCCATGTTAGACCGACGACAAACACTATCCGGCTCTTACCATACTGGCCAAACGATGCGGAAACCTGGTTTCTGTATACCGAGACAGATTTCTGAGAATAGGGAGCAGCAGATTCACGTTTTCAATCTCTTGCTGTCGTACGTTCACTACCGTGGGAGTTAAACAGGCACTTTACAGCGCATGTATTTGGTCGTGAAGTAGGTGATCCCCATGCACTTCTTAAAGTTGCGCTTCTGAAGAAAAGCATTTCACCGATCGCCAGGGCCTAGACGAATCGCTTCGCAACATCGGGCTAGGCAGCATCTCAGCTACTGACGTCCATGCAAGCACGCGAGAAATTGTGCCAACACACGTTTGAGAATGGATTTTTCCGAGGACCCTTTCTTCTGAAACTACCGAGACTGGTGCACTGGTGACACTTCAGTCAGTTCCACTCAATGACCTGGCAGTATCAGCGGATGAAATATTGGAGATCTTTAGCAGACCCGTCTGGGACTTATATCCAGCCTGTGAAAGACCTGAGGGCCAGGTTTCATAAGTAACCGAGCTGTGCAACTCTGTTAAGCAGCTGCCATAGACCTAAAACCACAGGTTGCGCAGCACAACACCGGAAGACCTCTCAGTCCATTGCAGCAACTAGCATGGTTATGCAGAAACCAAACCTAACAGGGTGGAAAACCGTCAGTGGCGCTGGTTTGACAAGACCCAAGGGGATGCAGCCAGAAAATACTGGAAACGATGCAATTTCAACACATATACAAACCCGGGGGACTGCCCTGCTGACACGCGTTAACGACAACCGTGGGCGGTGGAAACAGCCGTTCCTTGTACGTCACCGGCGTAAAGGCGAAAGTTCGCTACCTCGTCGACACAGGCGTACAAATTAGAATTTCCCAACAACAATGAAGGAACGTTATCATGACCCATCCTTCAATCTTCAAGGAGCTAACGGCAAGGTGATCGCAACATTTGGCAGACGGTATGCCTACCTGATGTCCTATCTACGATTTGGCTGTGACTTTAAGCGGAGATTTTCTGGTAGTTTCCCCTTTGCGTACCACTTTTTTATGACCACTTCAAAAAACAAAATGGAATTAAGCATAAAATCTACTTTCCATACTTTCCATCATCTATAAATGTCTCTCATTTTTGTGAAACGTTTTCGTGGCATTGAAGACTTTTGCTTCCGTTCCGGGTGCAGCGAGTACTGAAAGGAACGTAGAAGGAAGCGGAATCAAGATTACGGTATTATTCGACTTATTGTGTTTTCTATTCACATAATTCGTGTTATCTAGTCTGGCGTATGAAACCTTAAATTAAGGACTGAAAGCTAGCTCAAATGGAGTTTGCTGATGGCTGAAACTCCGCCCTGTCCTCGTTTTACCGAGGTTGGAAATTCATGAATAAATGAATGGGTACTTTTTTGTTTTGAATCGTTTGGATCTACAGATGGCAAATGACTCACTTGACTCAAATAGCTTGTGGCGTATCCACCACAAAGAGACAGACTGGAACTATAATTTAGTCAGCCTAATTCGCATGATTCCATACTTCTTATATACATGCACCAGTTTTTGGGTGAGCCTCACGGACGTTTTCAGTAGCCATCAGTAAATCATAACTCAAAGAATACAGAAGGGATACTAAGGTTCATTTTCGAGGACTGCCTAATTCTAAGTGATAGATCATAAGAAACAGGGAGAGTAATCACTCACCACATCTATCCTCGACCGTCGTGGTTTGAAGTCTGTTGGGTCCAGTGAAGGAACTGCTGTCATCCCAAACAAAATACGTTGCTTATAATGTGGACGAATAAATCAAGGAATAGAGGTTTGCCACTTACACCACATGAAGTTTGAAATCTACAAGTTTGAAGCATTAATTTTTCCACATGTCTTTATCAAAAACTGTTATATAGAGCAGAAAAATGAATAGTTGTAGTCCTGCAAAATTATAGAAGAGCAAATAGGTTTGAATCACAAAGGACAAAGCATCTGTTTGGAGGTTTTCAGTTTTTCGTTCGCTCATAATGATTGGATATTGAGGGATTTTGTTCCATCAATGTTCACCCGTAGTCCAAGGTTGTTTAATAGCAAGTGTTCGAATGGTCAGTCACAAGGTGGGTTTCATTTTATGTAAATAGAGATTGCGTTTTGAGTATTCACTTTCATACAGACATGAATCTTCCGATTTTTGAATTAGGTACTATAGGTTGGTTGAACTGTTCACAAGCTGTATTCATATAATGCAGTTAAGATGTTCTCTTACATATAAGATTCAGATTTGTTTGAGGAAACTATGTTCGTTCTTTGCTTTTGTAGTCTTCCCAGTTAGACCCAACACGTGGAGAGCGAATATCGAAGCTATTAACCTGGCGACCTCTTCGGAGGACTGGACAGTCAATCCAGAAGCCTGGTGCTCCTTCAAACAGTTATATGCACGAGTGACCCAACCGTTCATTCCGTAGACTGTCCCGAGGGAACGGAAACACTCATCTGTAGATAAACCACGAAATCCGGACTTTGCTACGAAGTAAGAAAAAGTGTTGGAGTCTTGCCACCCAACTTGGTACACCCGAAGTGGTGAAGCATTACAAAGAAGGCCGAAGTAAATGTATCGCTGCTATCCGCCGGTCTCGAATATGCTTTGAAACACGTCTTGCCCAGGCTGCATTGCAACATCCGAAGAGGTTATTTTCCAATACAAACTAGAAATAAGATGTGTCGTGGTATACCCACTTTATTCAATGGAACCGTAATTGACTGTTTGGTTAAGGACGATAGAGAAAAAGTAGAAGCCATGGCTGGATATTTGGCTGAGGTCTTTACACAGGGATCTTCTGTGGACACATCCAACAGAATAAACTATGGATATCGATCGCAGTGATGTATTTCGGATATTTAGTAATCTCGACGTGGAAAAATCAACGGGGCAGGATAAGCAGCACACAAGGCTGCTCAGAAAGCTTGCACTCTATTGGCTACTATATTCAGACTTTCTCTTAGTGAAGGCATACTCCCCTATGCCTGGAGGGATGCCATAGTAACGCCTGTCCACAAGAAAGGTTCTAGGCAGCTCCCATCAAATTACAGACCGATAAGTTTGACTACTACTGTAGTGAAAATCCTAAGAAGAGTAATCAAGGAAGCCATCAAAGTCCACCTAGAGAGCAGCACTCCATTGTCCCGTTCACAGCACGGTTACCGTAGAAATTTCTCTTGCTTGACGAACCTCCTTACAGTTAGAGAAAGTTGGGTTGAGTCTAAAGATGATAGGATACCGGTAAATGTCATTTTCATTGTTGGTAGGAGACAAAGAGTTAGGATCAATTCTCAATTCTCCATTTGGAATTCGGTAGAGATTGGAGTGCCGTAAGGCATAGTCCTATGCTCCCTGCTGTTTCCCTATACGTAAATGAGCTGCCAAATATCACCAAATCCCTTATGGTTCTCTACGCTGATGATGTGAAAATCTGACTGGAAATTAGGAACAATGATGATATATGTGCGCCTCAGGCAGATCTGAATAGCTTGTTTACCTGGTCAGACAAGTGGCTGATGCTTATCAATGCAGGTGTGTGAACATGCACTTGGGGCATACACGGCAACGCCTACGATATTGATGGGACTCCTTTACCGTCACTACTGACCGACAATGACCTAGGAGTCACAGTGAGTTATGACTTGAAAACCACGGCTCACTGTCGATTGATAGCAGCTCGGAGTTTTAGGACTCTGGGCATTACGTAAAACGTTTACGAAAATAAGTGGTGACATGTCCACCATCTTATACACATCCTTAGTTAGGTCTGAATTAGGAAACTGTGCACAGACGAATAATCCTTGTCTGAAAGGTGCCGCAGACCTTCTAGAAAGAATTCAGAGGACTCCCACTTGTATGAACCTTGCGATAGCCATCTTCACCTATGAAGACCGACTTAAGGAGCTGAACCTCTTCACTTTGTCCTACCGCAGACAGGGGAGACATAATCATGCTATACAGAATTCTAAGAAATGACCTGATCTATCTGCATATATGGTTATTTATTCCCAATCAAACACGAGTGCTGAAATAATGCATGCGAATGGGGCAATAATGCAGGTCAATGCATTGATTAGAAATGCTGAAATATAGCTGAAATGCGACAATTAAGCAGAGTTTTACGGACTACCCTTATAATTTACGTACTCGCAGAATAACTTAAGCGTACATGAGTAAACGCAGCTTTGTTTACGCACAATTCTCGCCTTATTTCAACACTACCCGCCTTATTTCAGCACTATCCGGATTATTCCAGCAGTTCAGGGAAGTTCTTGGGCACAATTTGTATTGCTTACGCCTCGCTCGCAATATTAACGCCATTTACCCCATTACTTGCGCATTCGCCATCATTATTTCCATATTGTGGTTTGACTAGGTTGTAGGATGAAGAAACAACTCTATGAAATAACACTGTCTAGTAAGATAGGTCCAATTTTTGAAACGATCAATAACCAATATAAAAATGTAAAACCTGAAATCCCATAGCATTCGGAAGTTGGAACTAAATGTTAATTACTTAGCCATGATGGTAAAATATGTTATTAGGAGATCTGGAATCATCAGCAAAACAGGAGAATGTTAACCAGCTAGGCCCACATAAACGGTTATTATCTAATTGTCTTAATTGACCAACACGTTTTTGGGTTTTCTAGCAGTACCCTCTTAAAATATTTCATCGCATATGCACTATTCGAAGCAAGCGTATTTTATGAAAACGAATATCTTTAAGTATGATATCTCGAGCCCATCTAGAGGATAAAGGCTTGCGTTGGGCTGTTTCAGGTCTAAGTGAATCGTTGGGCTCATTGTAAGTAGGCACATCTGATCAGTTGTTGTTCAGGGAGTGTTTGGACGATAAGTGGCAGTGATCACATAATTCAATGTCGACTGCAAGTATTTATTCACTTTTTTTCACCTCTTTTCGAAAGCAACAAGTAATTACTAGTTTTGTTTGTATCACTATTTCGGTTCTACTGGTTATGGAATAAAACTATAGGTTTTTGAATCAGATCAGTAATAACTGGTGTGTAAAATGTTTCAACTCTTTTCTCTGTCTTCTAGTCAAATTTTGTTCCCTTCCTTCAGTCCCAAAGAAAAACAGTGTAAAACGTTGCATAAAAGTTCATCAGTTCAAGTATTTGTACTCTATAGTAACAAAGAGAGAAAAAAAGTAGGAATAGATAAAGAAAGAATGGTATTAAAGCAGAAAATCATGAGGTTGACATTTTCAGACCAATTATTTTTCAAAAGAACTGTGATTCCACAAGCTTAAGGTCGAAATAGTGAGATACGTACTACGCCAGTAATTATAATATTTGTTGCTTTAGAAAAGAAATGAAAACAAAGTGAGCTCATTCTTGTAGTCGATAATGAATTCTGTGATCACTGCCACATCATCCAGACACTCCTTGAACAACAACTGATCAGATGTGCCTACTTACAATGAACCCACCTTTTCATTTAGACCTGAACTAGCCCAACACATGCTTGTATCCTCCAGATGGGTTTTAGATATCATACATTTTCATATGAGACTTAAGGACTGGTCTGCCTTAATAATGAGTACCTTGATCATTTTGTATATACAGGTGGTCATATTGATCTGAGTGAGTTGATAGCTGGTTAAGTTTTAGCTTAAATGAAGACGGCTAACTTTAATATTCCTAAACAATGCTGTTTGCAGTTCCAATATGACCCGTAAGTGTTCGTTAGCTGTTGAGTGTGGTGCTTAGGTGCGTTTTACAATATGGCTGCAAAATATGATCAAAAAAGTATTCACTAAAATTAGACATATTCGATAATCATTGTTTTTATTGCATCACTCATATGTGGTGAAACTCGTGTGTTGTCATTTAAAGGACATGCGTAGAATGCCGGTTAAAAGAGGTGAACCAGCTTATCATTGACTGACGTGGCTAAGATATATTACGAATGCTGTCTTCATCTGTTAATATTGGGTATAGACAAAAATACATCTCGGAATGTTCAAACTGATGTATATTAAAAAACTCATTATCTTTTGACCTAAATCTTGTGTACTATAGATGCTCTTGTCAAAGCGTGACAGCCAAAATCGGTTGTTATGGTATTTGTGGTAAAGCTTAAAATCGGTCGAGACAATGCAAATACATTTACACCGTATTTTCCTCGTAGTTCTGACAATCTTAGATTTCATTTTCATTAGTTATCATTTTGGTTTTTGATGACTGTTGGTATTGCCATTTGCATCCCGCTATCTTTCTTTTTGTTGATTCTGCGTTGGCATACTGTTATTGTGCAACAGCTTGAAAAGGCAATTCATTGTTACCTTTGTTGTTATGGATGGTCCTGTTATTAGGCGGCCCCAATTATGACATGGGAGACTGAATGCACGTCCTTCTATTAGTTGAAAGGTGAACACAAAAGCCAGTAGGCCACTATCCGAATACACTACATCTGATATTTGACAGCTAAACTGTCAGAAGCTAAACCTAAGTTTTCTCCTTTCGGGTACTTTTTGAACCATAAGTACAGGTAGGATTTCTCAAAGTACTAAACATAGGTAAGTGCTAAATAGTTGAACGATAACACTGAAGAATTTGAGTTGCTACTCTTGGAATTTTGTGATTATTATCTGATCTTAAAAATCTCAGTCTGAACCTTTTCAAGTTTTTAGGAAATATCAGTTGCGTTGGGTAAAAGGATCAAAATAATACTTTTGTGTAGGCGTAACCTAAACCTATGATTAAAAAGAATTGGCTTTCATCACTAAAAATTCCCCCACATACAGATAGAGGCAGTTAAACGAAATCAACGTACGGCTTTCGACCTAGTTCTTATAAAATTAATAATATTCTGCAGATGAGTACTGTAAGTACTGATATGGTCCAATAGTCTGGACATTTGCAACCAGCGTCCGCGCGTTTGAGTCCCACTCCACCTGCTGAGGTTTGAACGACCAGTTTTTATCATAATCCTTCACACAGTAAGTCTGGCTCATTACCTACTACATATACATGCACTTGGTCGGCGAGCACATTTCCTAACACTGCTTTCAGAAGTGTGATATCTTAAATATTTTGAGTAATATGATAAGAA